AAGCAGTGTGCTTGAGTGGTGGTGGAATGGCAATGGGCAAGAACAATCAGTAGTTCCATGCAGTCAAGAACAGTAATATATTTATTAAGCAGCTACAACCCATGACTTAATTAGAAGCATTTTCTATTAAAAAAAACCTTGTTATTCTCCAGTTCTCATCCTGGACTTCCTCAATATGTTGCTACTACAGATAACCGAGCTGTTGTTACAGGATGCAGGCTCTCCACAGGTGCCTGCAACCAGCCCAATACACAGAACCACTTGAAACAGTCATCTTAACTGCTGAAGTATAGTACATTTATTTGTTACAGCAAGTAATGATGTCTAGAGGCTGGAGAAATTAAAGCTAAGGTGACAATGAGCAGTAATAGGTACTCCAAGGTTATAAATCATTTTCTGTTGTTTGAAGAGGAAAATCAGACCATGTTCTTTACATGACAGATTGTAAAATCTGAAATACAAGAGAAATTACAACCTTCAGCAATTTGATTTTGCATGTTGGTAGAGCTTCCATCTTCTTGGGGAAGTGTCTTAAGCCTGAGTGGTTTGATGGGTCAGGTTATGTCTGTCCCCCCACCTTCGAGCTGGTGGCCTGTCCCCAGGGCGTGCCAGATGCCCTGAGGCTGGGACTGGCCCCTTGCCACACTGACTGCCCTGCTTCTGGCTGGGGATGGGCCCTGACTACCCCTCTGCCATTCCCTGCCCCCATGGATCAGTGAGGCTTCCCTGACACCCTTCTGTGAATTAGTCATCCTAGCATGTGGGTTATGTTTGGTTACTTAGTGCTTTTTTGTTATTTCTTGTGGATTTTGTGCATATTACTCCCATATTTTATTTTGGCAGTGCTGTCTATTTGCCAGCCTAGAATGAAGCCTTATTTCATAGAGGGCCACATGAAGTAAGTGGTGTTAATCTTGAAAATGATAACTTGAGGACAGTGATTTTTCATAACCACAGGTAGGTAGAGGAAAAATGACCTTTGAATAGTATTAGTGCTTGCAAAGGCTTTTCCAGTTCTGCCTGTCCTGAGTTCTAAGTTAGGAGTGCTTGTGATTATGAGAGTGAATTTAAAAGAAAATGAAATTCCAGATTCAGTGAATTTAATGGTGGATTTTCTGCCTTGGTAAGACTAGTAACAGAATTTTCATAATCTCAAGAGATCTTGTCCACACCATGGAACTTCATGGTGTGGTTGAGAAGGGAGTTTCCATGCCCTGGCAATAGATTTATGAGGAAATAGGTTTTCTGTTTGACTCTTAAGAAGTTAGTAGTACGAGGAGGTCATTAGCTGCAGTCCTTGTGAAAAAAACTGTCCTACTGAAGCAAGGTTTTATTTTCTTGTGGTAGACAAGACATCCAATTAGTTTATTCTATGGAATTCAACACATCTCACTGTGAGAAGATTTCGGTGCTGCTTGGTTTCATCTTAAGTTTATAGCTGTTTTTCTCCTGCAGCAACTTAACAAGTGTTTTCTCTGCTCTGACTTTTGTTTGCTGGCATCCTTTAGATGGCCATTGTTATTGTCATTACATTATCACAATTTAAAGGTACTGTAGGATCAACTCTAGTGGCAGTGGCCCCTTTAGGCTTCTAGGAGAAAAAGGATCAACAGTAAGTATTTTATACCTGTTCAGTTATTTTCTTGGGATTGCATTCTCTGCTTATAAGTTTCTGATTCTAGCTATACTATCTATCTATACTGTTACATGGTATAGGGAAGCTCTGTCTGTTTTCTGTCAAATTTGTTGTTTTCTAAATCACTCTTTTCCTTCAAGCTCTAGTTAGAGGCAAAACTGCAAAGTATTTCCTCTGAAATACTGAATTCCTCTAAATTGCTTACATTTCCCAGGGAAACTAAAAGTCAGCTGTTTAACAGCTTGAGGATGTTTCATGTATAGATTTACAACCTGCAAATTTTCAAAATAAGGTCTCTCTTGAAAATGTGATCCTAAATCTGAGGTAACACCAGTGCACCTTGGAGAACATTGTTTAGAAGGAGTTTCTATTTCCTTGCTGTGATTTTTTCACATCTGTTAAACAGCATTCACACTGAGGAGCATGGACTTAAAAACTTTGTTTCATACAAAAAACCACCAGTAGCTGCATGCTGTGCTTGTCCTACGCCAGACCCACAAAGGATATAAATCATTACTGATTCTGTTTAATTAATGTTGCTGAGACTCATGCAGCTCTGGAGGTCCTAACTTTAATCATAAGTGTTGATAGGTGTCAGAAGAGTTTTCTTGTGCATTCTAGAAAGGAAAGGAAGTAGAATGAATGGAGTGAATGTATGTACATTATTTGTATGACTAAGCTGTAACTGTTCCTCCCTGAACACTGTACAGTTTTTTCATTGACTCTGAGTGTTCTCAATAAAGATGTAATTTTCTCTTTCCTATATGAATTTTTATTTGTTAATGTTTTTGTAGAGTAGCCTGCTTCATACCTACCCTCTGAAATCTTTGGGTATTTCCCTTCAGGAATTGTCACTCCTAATTGGGATTTCATTCCCAATGATATCATTACAATTTCTCTTGAAGCTCTGTGTTCATAACAGGATAATAGGGAGAGAAGTTGCTCAGTTTGTGATTGATTAGTGGATGTACAATCTCAATTCCCTTGGAAAGTGGGCGTGTGATTGTTTGAGTCTGTGTTTCTTTGGAGAGGGACCATTTCAGGGAATTGTAGTTAGATCTGCAAACAATCCATTAGTCACTCTTCCAAGCCCTGCCAGCATAATACTGTTCCCTGCAGTACATTACTGAGTGTTTTGTCCAATATCGGTTTGAGTGACTCAAGCCATGAGGCTTCCACCACTTCCTCTGAGAAACTATTTCATGGTCTGATGGAGCTAACTGTTAGGAAATATTTCCTGGTACTCAGCCTAAACTTTTTAACACTCAGATTGATCTCATTACTGTTAGGTATACTTTTTTTCCCATCCCTGTCTTGTTTGGCATTCACACTCTTGAGCGAATAGTAGATGGTATCATACCTCCTCATAAGTCAAGCAAATGCATAATTAGTTCTTCTGTTTCAGCTCTCCAAAGAGGCCATCTGTTTGGTGGAAAACAGGGCTGAGTATGGGAAGATTTTTTTCCTACTAAGTACTTGTTTCAAACAAATAATATAAAAAAGTGCATTAGGAATTCTTAGTAGCTCCAAGAAACCCAACTTATATTTAAAAGGCTTTTCAAAAGTTATGTAGAAAATTGTAACATTTCCAAGCAGTCATTTAAAATAGTAATACCTTTTTCTAGCGCAATATACAGCTCTAGTACTAGTAGTCTGTCACATATCATGGCTTCAGGGAATGTTTTGTAATGTTGCTTCATCTATTTATCAAGCAAATTCTATGTAGCTACAGCCTGGAGAGGAGAAAGCAATGGCAACAGAATTGCAAGCAGATCCGGGGGCTATTTAAGAGTGTTTGTCATTCGCAGCTTTACAGCCAGAATTTACAAGTGTTTGGGTCATATAAAGATGGCTGAGGAAGGAAGTGTACTTTAATCCATCCAATACTGGATGTATCCATAATATCTGGATTTCTTCCTTGTGGCCAACATATGTTTGGTATTTCTCTCTGTCCATCCTTCCTTCCTGCCTGCCTGTCTTGCCTTATTATGGTGTAAATTCTGCAAAGGTGTATGCAGATAATAAAAAATTGTATTTTGCAGCATCTGGGTGTATGCTATTCTTATTTCTTATGGGTAGTTTTCTGCTTGGTCAGAGACTCCTAGTTGCTGGAAAATTTAGGTTTACAGTAAGACTTCTAAACTAGGACTCCATGCTTGCTTTGAAATACATGAAGTATGAATTCTAAGCATATATGTGTTTATGTTTTTTGACTAATCACTGTGTAATCTGGGAACCAAGCCCGTGTTTTGTTAATTTTTTACCTGAGATTATCTGATGTGTGTGGGTTTGTAACCTGGGCTTCCAGTTTGGGGAGTAAATAAGCTGTGTGCACTTCCTCTGAACTGTACTAGAAAGGATGTGCAAGTCCTCCGGCAAGAGCATTCCTGGGCTAACTTATTACAGTTTTACTAAGCTAATTAAGGGAGAAAAACTCAGTGGGCACATTAAGATCGAGTCAAGTTTGAACCTAATCAGTGTATTCAGGTGATTAAACTAACAATTTAATATAACAGATAATCTTATATTGCACACAAATACGTAAATGCAAAAAAGGAAAAGTTAAGTAAATGACAGTCTGCCATCAGGAGAAGAAAGAGATTAATTCCTGCAGCTTTCTAGTCTAACCCTTCCTTCCTTTCCTGACTCAGTTGGCTGGGAGCCAAGTAGTCCCTCCTGTACTGAGCCTAGATACGGCTCTGTCCCTTCCTTGTTCTCTCTCTTTCCTTCTTCCTCCTATGGGATAAACATCTTGGACCACATTAGGGGTTGGAGCCTCTTTTGGAATCTTTGCCTAGCTCCTGATACGCTTCCCCCCAAGGCTTTGCAGATCTGGGCTAGCCTGGTAACCTGAGGGGGCTGCGGGGGGGGGGGGGGGGGGGGTAGGTGTATCACTTTCCCTTCTGCTCACAGGGAGCATTCCTCACTTTTCTGCCTCGGAGGCAATTGCTTTGGTGATGAGCTGTATGGAGTGACACAGGAAGGGGTGGCTCCAGTTCAGTCCTCAGCAGGTAGCACATATCTGAGGTCAGTGTGGAAAGCCACCTCTGAAATGGTCCTTCCACTCACATGGATTCCCTCTATAGATTAGGAGCAAGGTGCATGCAGGACTTTGAAGCACACGTGGCTTTTATGTGAATAAACTCAACCCATATTTCAGGGACTGATGTATTCCCACTCCCCATGTCAATTCTGTGGCAATATTCCTCATGCATTCTGTGGCAATATTCCTCATATTCCTCACCCTGTGTCTGACCTGTACTCTGCCAAAGGGCTGGTCTTCTCTGTTCAAGAAAAGAAGAAATGGGAGAAGGAACACAGAAAGATTAAGATGCATTCAAGAGTGTGTTTCCCTTCCATGCAGGTTATCCAGGCTGTCTTTTTTGGGATTTGCGTCTTGACTGACCTGTCCAGTCTCCTCACTAGAGGGAATGACAGTCAAGAGCAAGAGAGGCAGCTGAGAAAACTCATTTCCCTCCGTGACTGGATGATGGCTGTTCTAGCTTTCCCTGTGGGAGTGGTAAGTACAGTGTTAATCTGTGCATGTCTTTGCAAACTGGGTGAACAGTGTTACTTACTGAATGTTTTCTTCCTGAAAGATTTTTTTCCATCACTATACAAAATACTACACAGAAAGGGAAAAATGGGAGAGATGATTTTACTACTCTTTTGTTTTTCACAGGTGTAAGGGAACTGAATATACAATGGGTTGCTGAAGTAACTTTTGGTTCATTATAAAAAAATCATGTTACAATAGGAACTTGATTGTACAAGTAATTTTATATGTGTATTGTACCAGCAGCATCTTGAGATTCAATTTAGACTTTTTCTGCTCAACATGTCATCATCAGGAGTAGTGAAAGTGCTGACTGTGGCATGTTTTACACCATAATGACCTGAGGGAATCTGGGCTGTAAGACATTTTGACATGGGCAAGAAGAGTAGCAAAAGTCCAGGTTGCTCCTTGTTAATTCCACAGGAGATTCAGAACTGGCAGAACAATTGAGGCAGAAAAAAAGGGGTTTTGTTAGTAATGTTAAAAAGGACACAGAAGGTATGTGAAAATGTGGGGTTGACATATCTTTTTTCAAAAGAAGAATATTCTTTGGATCAGGTCTTGCTCCACTGGGACATTGCACACCACTTTCAATGGCAAGAGGTGGTCAACGTCTTTACATAGCTAATAAAGCTGCTAAAAATCCAAAATTTTATGAGATTTACATGGAAGTGTCATCTGTGTCAGTCTAGTTTCAAGCTTAGGTTGAAATGCAAAAATGTGTGAACATTTCGTTACAGTTATTGCTTTTTTTGGAATTCAGGATCAAACATTAATTCTCTTTTTCTTATTTCATTGTACAGTAGTTCAAAATAAATTCACTAGAAGCAGATATTTTTCATGGACTATTAGAAAGCTGTATGAGGTCTTTAAAGCTGTACTTTCACAACAGCTGATCACTTTCTGTCAGTTAACAGCAGCTAACATATCAATCTATCACTTATAATTTCATATATTCAGTGATGCTTCATTAGAATTTCATTTCACCATTTATGTGGAATTTCACAATACATGAGGAAATACAGAATGCTTTTGCAAAGTTACAAAAGGCAAAGCATATGTGAAACACTGCAGGTACTTCTTTAATAAAAACCCAGCTGGTAGCCTCCCTTATTATACTTGCTGGGCTGCCTTTTGGGAGCTGCCACAATTCATGTTGGGATAGCAGACTGCAGTTTTCCAGCAATGGTAGAGGAAACTGCATCAGGTAATACAGGTATTACCTGTGCATGGACAAGTTTGCAAATATGCATTTTATGGGTACAGAGATTTATGTTGCATTTGTGTTTTTAAGGGGATAAGGAGTTAGAGGTAGTTGTGATACAGATTAATAACAGATGCTTTTTCTACTGTGTTGATAGTAGAAGTAGAAGAAAAAGGAGAAAAACTTCACACTATTTGTCTTTAAATATTTTAAGTGCCTTTTTCACTCTAGAAGTGTACTTCATGTGCATCCAAGCATACCCTCCCTGGGTCTTTCATACCTCTCAGGATTCAGGGATTCTTTCTTGCCATTGCTTTAGCTTCATACTGTTGTCAGTGTGCTCCTCCACTCCTGCAATGCTCCTGACCTTGACATTTCTCAAGATCTTGGAGAATTTCAGCTTCTCTTTGTCTTGGCAATTCTTAGGATTTCTTTTCAGGGGATGTTTCTCACTACACAAAGACTCCTAGTTAGCCACTGCCTGCACTACAGGTGTTGTTGCAACATTGACAAGTTAGCAGTTCCCAAGAGATCCATCACATACCTGGAGATAGCTGCTTTCCCAAGGGTTTCATACAAGAGCAACTTATGTCTTAAACAAACATAGTAATGAATGGCCGTGCTTATTGTACAGATATGCTCCATTTCCAAGGGTTACCTTTGTGTGATGAGGGGGAACAATTGTTTACAACTTTACTTCTTACTAAGAAATCCTAAAATGGTTGTTTTTGTTGTCATTTCTTTTCCTGGCTACTGAGAGACAAACAGCAGCACCTCATAACTTTACAATGGTCTCATCTCCTTCCTGAAACCTGATCCTCACCAGCAGCAGAGATCTCACCACACTGCAGGTATCACTTGCCAAAGCCTGGCCAGTGCCTGAGAGACTGCTAGGCACTGCAGGCTCTGCTTTGGTGGGATAGAAGAATGCAGGGCCCAAAAGTAGCAAACATCGAACACAGATGTTGTTGTCTGAAGAGCTATTTATGTGGAAGAAAATATTGAAAGTTTGCTATGATGGAGGTTCTCATTAGAAGGAAGTTATTAAACACTGGAGTGTCTCCCGAAAAAAAAGTTAAAAGTTCCCTTGTTTCTCATATTTTTTAACAGCTTCCTCACTCCAGAAAAAAAAAAAAAAAAAAAAAAAGAAAAAAAAAAGAAAAGAAAAAAGAGGAAAAGAATTGTAAATGCAAACTTTCTTTCCTTCAGACTCACCCGCCTAGCTCTCTGTGGAGCTTCTCAGTGGTTTCCAGTAGTGACACCAGGGAACCTTCACACATAAAAGTTGGGCAGATGTGAATAAAATCTTTGTTGGGTTTCTAATGTAATAGTAGTGGTCATGCTTAAGTACTTGTCAGTTACCTTAACATCTAAATTATTTTTATTGCTCAGTGTTTTACACAGGGCATGTTTAGGCAATAATGCAAATACTAGGGGAACATTTTAAAGCCTAATAACTGCAGCTTTTCAAGAGCAATTCACCACATTTTTTTCTGTATTTCCTGCTTACTGGAGCCCTTGAGATGACTTATTCTGAAAAACAGATGAGAAAAGGGGTATCCACTCCCAAGTTAAACAATGATGTGAGAAAAAAAAATGTAACTAAGTTCTTAATTTTTAAGACTTCCTAAAAAACTAAACACGCAAACCATCTGGGAAGTCTGACCACCACTTCTTCCCACCTTCCAGAGGAGGGAGAAAACAGCCCAAGGGTAAATAATCTCCTTGGCTTCACAACAAATCAAATCTTCCAAACAAATCCAAATCACATCTCTCCAGTGTTGTGATTTGCATTGGGCATCTTCAGGGGCTCTGATAAAACTGAATTGCCAACCTATATTTCACAGGAGAGTTAAGAAATGAATATGAACCTCTTCTAAGGACATAATGCCCACTATTTACCTGTTGTTGCTCTTTTTAGGATGACCCTTCAGAGAACCAAATCAGAAATGAACACATTAATTTTCTGTGCAGTAAACCCTTATGCCACAAAAAGTCTGTGGGCAACACTTCCTAGCCTTTTTTAAAGTTTGTTCTAAGCCTGCAATTCGAATGCTGAAGAGATTAAGAAGCATCCATTGAAGAAAATTGCTTGCATAGGCATTTTAGAAGTTCATTACCAATTTTCATTTATAATTACTTGTACTTGCCATCTCTTTATCTGTGTAAAGGAGATTTATATTGAGAGTAATTTACACTGCTAGAGTGATGTGAGACATGCTTAAAGTCAGACATTACACCAGTGGTTTAGCTTATCCCTACTTTTTTTCTGTTTGTTTGACATAGATCATTAAGTTTCTACGATTCTATGGTTAATTAGTGTTTTGGTTTTATCAATGTGTTTCTTGTAATTTGTACTGAACAAAAGGAAGAAGAGATAAATCAGGCATTTCTGGTTTTTTAAGACTGTGTTTAATAAAAATACAAAGAACAAAAATTGATCTTGTTACATATTTAAAGAGAGATTGCTGTCTAGAAAATCACAAACTCTACCACAGACATTTTATATAATGTAGCATCAATAGCTGTGTTTGAATCTGAGTCTAAACTGACCAGAATTACCTCATTTTTTTCTGTTATACTTTTATGGGTTTAAAAACCTGTGATACACAAGTGAGAAAATCAGGCATGCTTTCTTATTTCATGTTTCTCTGTACTAGGAGAGTCAAAAGGAAAGCTGATCACCCTTCTGTAGATCATCAATCGTGCTGATTTACGATCTTAGGCCAAGAAAAGATGTGTAGGCATTTGCTGCAGTTTCCTAGTTACCTGGTTACTTGACCAGACTATAGCATAATTTTATTTCCATAACTGACTCAACTATGAAAAAATCTCTTCTAGATTTTGCCTTCATCTATTGTGACAGGATGATTTGTGATGGGATAATTAGCAAGTAGTGGTACAATTGCCCCCTGAGATTTGTTCTATGAGACAGATTTTCCCTGGGTTTTTTTCCCCTCACTCCTTGTGATTCTTGTCACTGGTGCTTTTCAAATCCCTGTGGTGTATTGTGCTAGCTCTCAATCCCATCTAAAGACAGCACTATGCCAAGTTGTAGCTACTGTGGTCTGCCTTTAGCAGCACTTTTCTTCTAGATGTAATACCTCTAACTGTCAAAGAAGTTCACAAACAACATATTTATACTCACAGTTAACCACAAGTGTCTTGGGAGATAGGCAGAAAGCTTACCTTTAATTGTACTTATAACAAATTGTGTCAGGGTCACAAGGGTCGGGGTTTTTTTTCTTTGTCATTATCATCCAGGAAATGACTGAACTGTGCAGCCCAGCCAAACCCAAAAACACATAGTGTAGGAAAATAAAGTTCCACTGGGTTCATTCTTCGTTTGCATAACATTTCTTGGTTGGACTCATGTAAAAGTGCAAATTGTATAATTATTTTTGTTGGCTTTCCTTTCTTAGTTTCTCTTTGCTTCCATTTGTAGTGTTTTGACAAAGCCACTTGATTTCTCTTTTGAATAACTGTCCATTTCCCAACTTGTCCTTTAAAACTTTTCCCTTGACAGGGCCACATGCTGTGCTTGTGTCCTCTGAAGCTTCAGAGACAGAGGACAAACACTTGAGGAATACCTCCTTAAGTGGAAAGGCAGCAGTTTGTTTTCAGCCTTATTTTCTTTTTCTGCTGCTCAGTATTTGTTCAGCAGTCTTTCAGATGTCTGTAATAAGTGAGCTATTCTACATTTTCAGGTTCCAAGGTCTTCTGGCAAATCTGAAGTTTCTTTTGGTCTGTAATGACTGGA